GCATGAGTATGTGGTACAAATGTAGAGGAAGATAGTGGCATGACTATGTGGTACAGATGTAGAGGGAGATAGTGGCATGACTATGTGGTATAGATGTACAGGAAGGTAGTGGCATGATTATGTGGTACAGATGTAGAGGAAGATAGTGGCATAAATATGTGATGTAGATGTAGAGGAAGATAGTGGCATGACTATGTGGTACATTTGTAGAGGAAGATAGTGGCATGACTATGTGGTACATTTGTAGAGGAAGATAGTGGCATAAATATGTGATGTAGATGTAGAGGAAGATAGTGGCATGACTATGTGGTACATTTGTTAAGGAAGATAGTGGCATGAGTATGTGGTATAGTTGTAGAGGAAGATAGTGGCGTGACTATGTGGTATAGATGTAGAGGAAGATGTTGGCATGAGTATGTGGTACAGATGTAGAGGAAGATAGTGGCATAAATATGTGATGTAGAGGAAGATAGTGGCATGACTATGTGGTACATTTGTTAAAGAAGATAGTGGCATAAGTATGTGGTATAGTTGTAGAGGAAGATAGTGGCATGACTATGTGATATAGATGTAGAGGAAGATGTTGGTATGAGTATGTGGTACAGATGTAGAGGAAGATAGTGGCATGATTATATGATACTGTTGTAGAGGAATATAGTGGCATGAGTATATGATACAGATGCATAGGAAGATAGTGGCATGAGTATATGATACAGATGTAGAAGAGGATAGTGGCAAGACTATGAGGTACATTTGCAGAAGAAGATAGTGGCATGATTATGTGATACAGTTGTAGAGGAAGATAGTGGCATGAGTATATGATACAGATGTAGAGGAAGACAGTGGCATGAATATGTGGTACATTTGTAGAGGAAGATGGTGGCATGAGTATGTGATGTAGATGTCGAGGTAGATAGTGGCATGAGAATATGATACAGTTGTAGAGGAAGATAGTGGCATGATTATGTGATACATTTGTAGAGGAAGATGGTGGCATGAGTATGTGGTACAGATGTAGAGGAAGATAGTGGCATGAATATGTGATGTAGATGTCGAGGTAGATAGTGGCATGAGAATATGATACAGTTGTAGAGGAAGATAGTGGCATGACTATGTGGTACAGAAGTAGAGGAAGATAGTGGCATGATTATGTGGTACAGAAGTAGAGGAAGATAGTGGCATGAATATGTGGTACAGATGTAGATGAAAGTGACACCCCATAATACAGGAGATGATTACATTAACTGACCATCAAGATATCGCATGGTTTTTCTTGCCGAGTTGACCTACGGTACTTAACTGTTTCAATGATCTGCGGGTTTCAATTGAAAGTTATTTATAGCACAGACATACGGACTCATTAACCTGTGAATTTCAATAAAAAAAATTGAACTCCATTACGCTTCATAAACTTAAATGCTTATCAAACTTAATTTTCGTTTTAGTTTGTTGATGTTCTGTGTATTATTTGTTTACGTAAAATAATATGATAAACAAATACATTATTGAAAGATATTTACATTATTATGCGATGAAACAAAAGTGAACCGTTCCCAGTTTCCAGGAAATCTTGCACAATATCATAAAATTTAATATTATAAATATTCACTGCCATTTCCTTTGTATTGTTTAGACTACATTTGTATAAAATAAATGCAATTGATTAAATTAAATCGCTGATTTATTTTTTTGTGAATTTAGTTCCTTGTCTGTAGATTAGCATACTTCCTCTCATGTATCGTTGATATACATAAATACAAATGATTTAGATATTGTCGAGATTGGTCATTTATTTAATTGAATATTATGGTGCAGGTTCAGATACCATTAGTGTAGAACAGATCATTTTCCAGAATATCCATCAGCCATATTGTATTCGATTCAATTTTAATGTCTGTTAGCGGCTCAAGTTTAAATATTGATATTTTACTTCTCTGTTCACCATTTTTATTTGAATAATTCAAAACTTACTTTAATATCTTTGTCTGAATCATATCATTTTTGTGTGTTTCGTTAAAGTCCTTATCGTTATTACGTCATAGCCATAATTGTCGATATTGCTGACATTTCTTTCACGCTGCTGATTGTTAGCACGTAGACATGATTCTTAAACTACAGAACCATAAACAAGAGAATTGTTTCAAATCGCGATGAGGGGTTGAAATGATTAGAGTACTATAATATAAGTACTCAAACTTCCAATAGAAAAATATTTAGACCACATTTTAATTTTGTGATCAAGCAAGAGTCATATTTGAAGACATACTGAAAACATCACATGTCTTTCCGCTATAATTTTGTGACGTCATACCTTCCCGTGACATATATTTTGGACTGGTTTAAATCATCTCAGTAATAAAAGATTCAATATTATATTCATTATGTCGAGAGTATTAATATTTTCGTGTGATTTTGAGAACAGAATAACCAAACAAATTCTAAATATGGGAATCGTCAGATCAACGTGTAGCAGGCAAACGTCATTGACAATCTTGGCATCTCATTTGTGGCAAATAACGTGTTTGGCAATCCATTTTTTCTATCATTATTTTCTTATGTTTCTTCAGGTAACTTTTGTTGTTTGTGAAGGCCACTAACTTAAATCTAACATCTATTGATACCGAAAGCGACAGTCGGCCATTTTTGTTTATACCCAGATCAAACCTCTGTAATAATTCAGTCTCAAATATTAAAGGTGGCATACAACTGACCTACTGGCGGATATGAAATATAATATAGATATACATAAAGTACCTTTTTCCAACCTAATTCTTCATTCCTTTATAGCGCCAAAACATGGCAGGGAAATGTTAATAATATAACGAAGTTTAACTGCATATATACTCTTTCGCTTTCTATGTATTTCATACATAATAAAATATGATCTTATATTGATCTCTTATTGACAAAGACATCTGGACATAAATATTCCAATAGTAACATGATGTCACCTCAGAATAGGTACGAAGTACGAAAATTGAAATTTTGCATCCTGGTTTTCACTGTTTTTCAATTTGTTTAACTTTACCTCAGTTTGCATTTTCAAATAGTCTTAAGGTACAGATATCATTTCTAGCGAACCGCCATGGACACATACAGACGTTGCACCCATGTGCACCTTGCATGTCTTACATCTATACGACTGAGTACGTTATTATGCGATACTGCTGGTAAAGGCTCGAATGTGGAAACAAACACTCTCCAAGATGTTACCTACCCCCGTATACAGTAACGCGCGACCAAGTAAAAAAATCCGGATCGGAAAATTAAGACGGGCGCAATACCTAGCAAAGAAAACCAGCATACATTGAAGAAAAACGTTTAGTGTATCACTGAACCGCTTACATGTAAAAAGCATATTTGTTAAATTACACCACATTCTGTTGTACTTTAATGAATTCTAACAAATCCGCTCTATTGTACCCTACCTAGTCAAGTCATGTTAATGTATTGTTGTATGTATCGGATTTTCACCTTTCACCTTGACTACAAAAGATTCCTGCGGGTCTTTTTGTTCGTGTTTCTCTTCTCCTATTCGTGCCAATATCATAAAGTTCTCATATACTCTTTTCGGTGGTGTTTTTAGGGGCGGGAAGGGAAACAGATGAAGGGTTTCGTCTTACTTAACAAATGACATATTACCTTTTGAAACATTTCACCGACATGACTTTAAACAGTCCCAGATAAAGTTGTTGCATTTTCTTTGTTTGTAAACAGAGTTTAAATATCTTAAGTCCTAAGATCGGGTGTTTCGCGTCATGATGAAATCATTTTTATGTGTCTGGGGAGAAAACATATCTGTATTTAGAATTTTACCATTCGTACTTCTGTAAATTTATACGTCTGTGGTCTGAATTAATCATCACCATTGTAAAATTGATACCTCAAAAAAACAAAAATAAAACGATACATCTGTACAAATTGTATTATAAAAGGATATAAAAATCATCTAGAATTTTTTGTTTAGCCACAACATAAACAACGGATTGTATTCTAATAACCTGATGATAACAAGATCTTCTCATTAAAGTTCAAGTGGCTTATAAACAATTTTTTTCACCCATGGACTCTTTCCTTTCAGAAACTAGTATGGAGCTCATGATCAATTTACTTTATATAGCTACTGGTAAACACTATGGAGATCTATACAAATATCTATGGAATAAAAATAGCACAAATTAAGACAGGACGGCATGATCAATTCAAGAGACCGACATGGCGAATAAATGTCAAGATGAAGGCATGACGCAAGGAATAAGACACGAAAAATAAACCAACATGGAGACAAAACATTGTGATGGAGACAAGAAACCAACACGGAGACAAAACATTGTGATGGAGACAGGAAACCAACACAGAGACAACACATTGTGATGGAGACAAGAAACCAACACAGAGACAAAACATTGTGATGGAGACAGGAAAGCAACACGGAGACACAACATTGTGATGGAGACAGGAAAGCAACACGGAGACAAAACATTGTGATGAAGACAAGAAACCAACACGGAGACAAAACATTGTGATGAAGACAAGAAACCAACACGGAGACAAAACCTGGCGATGGAGACAAGAAACCAACACGGAGAGAAAACATTGTGATGGAGACAAGAAACCAACACGGAGACAAAACATTGTGATGAAGACAGGAAACCAACACAGAGACAAAACCTGGCGATGGAGACAAGAAACCAACACGGAGACAAAACCTGGCGATGGAGACAAGAAACCAACACGGAGACAAAACATTGTGATGGAGACAAGAAACCAACACGGAGACAAAACCTGGCGATGGAGACAAGAAACCAACACGGAGACAAAACCTGGCGACGGAGACAAGAAACCAACACAGAGACAAAACATTGTGATGGAGACAAGAAACCAACACGGAGACAAAACATTGTGATGGAGACAAGAAACCAACACGGAGACAAAACATTGTGATGGAGACAAGAAACTAACACGGAGACAAAACATTGTGATGGAGACAAGAAACCAACATGGAGACAAAACCTGGCGATGGAGACAAGAAACCAACACGAAGACAAAACCTGGCGATGGAGACAAGAAACCAACACGGAGACAAAACCTGGCGACGGAGACAAGAAACCAACACGGAGACAAAACATTGTGATGGAGACAAGAAACCAACACGGAGACAAAACATTGTGATGGAGACAAGAAACTAACACGGAGACAAAACATTGTGATGGAGACAAGAAACCAACATGGAGACAAAACCTGGCGATGGAGACAAGAAACCAACACGGAGACAAAACCTGGCGATGGAGACAAGAAACCAACACGGAGACAAAACCTGGCGACGGAGACAAGAAACCAACACAGAGACAAAACATTGTGATGGAGACAAGAAACCAACATGGAGACAAAACCTGGCGATGGAGACAAGAAACCAACACGGAGACAAAACATTGTGATGGAGACAAGAAACCAACACGGAGACAAAACATTGTGATGAAGACAAGAAACTAACACGGAGACAAAACATTGTGATGGAGACAAGAAACTAACACGGAGACAAAACCTAGCGATGGAGACAAGAAACCAGCACGGAGACAAAACATTGTGATGGAGACAATAAATCATCTCGGAGACAAAATATTGTGATGGAGACAAGAAACCAACATGGAGACAAAACCTGGCGATGGAGACAAGAAACCAACACGGAGACAAAACCTGGCGATGGAGACAAGAAACCAACATGGAGACAAAACATTGTGATGGAGACAAGAAACCAACATGGAGACAAAACCTGGCGATGGAGACAAGAAACCAACACGGAGACAAAACATTGTGATGGAGACAAGAAACCAACACAGAGACAAAACCTGGCGATGGAGACAAGAAACCAACACGGAGACAAAACATTGTGATGGAGACAGGAAAGCAACACGGAGACAAAACATTGTGATGGAGACGAGAAACCAACATGAAGACAAACATTGCAATTAAGACAAGAAACCATGCAACCAGGGTGCATAGTGTTTCATAAACACAATCTGTTTTTCAATATTTCTTGTTATTTTGTTTAACGCGTCAAAGCAATGCAAATTATTGATCGAAAAATGTATCGTCATTCATTTTTAACACGTAGAAGTGAAAGTCACCAAAAGGAAAAAACAAGCAAATGCAATCTTGTCAACAAAAGCGAAATAAAAAAAAGCAAAAAACAAAATAAAAAAAAAAACATTACTTGAAGAAAACAAGGACCAATACAACTTGAAAAGTTCAGAAAGAACAAGACTTTGATATTTTCGAATGTAAGCATCTTCTGCTGTTTTAATGTCAAAGTAATGTCGCGTTCTCTATACGAGAACCAGGTTAATTAAAAACGCATACTTCTAGTCCTACTTTATTTTGATATGAGCACCACACAAATAGGAAAATAATGTTTGCAACGGTTGTAATACTTTTTTTTCATGATTGGCAGGTGTATCCATTACGACTGTGGAATATTATCGTACATCAAAGTCACAGAGAGGCGTCTGTATAAATAAAACACAATTCAAAGTAACATTTGCCCATCATATCAAGAACTTCGATATCTCCAAAACCACATTTGATAAATACAAGAAAAGCAGTGTCAATAGACTTTTGTTGACCTGAACAGAAGATAGATCAATATTTTCACGTAAGAAATGAGTAAAGAGGTAACACATAATTCCCCCCAAATAGCAATTACGATCACCATTCAACGCCGGAAAATACACAAATATGAAACATCAGTTACCCCTAAGGCGCCTCTCTGTGACGACAAACAATATGCAAATACGATTTACTGTGCGAACACTTGAGGACACCCCCTAGCTGACACATACTATTAAGTCATTAACCTTTCGTTACTAGAGGAGGATTTTGCCACAAATTATCTTTAATTTAGTGTGAAATACTCAGTATTGAAATTCTGGACTTTCATTTCTACTATTCCAATCTAATTATGGCAATTTCTTGAAAACCTTCAATTATGTGTTTACTGGAAGTAGAAAGCGGACCTAATTCCATTATGCTTTTCCTAGGTCTGGCTGTATGCCCTTGCGGTACGCCTCACCGCCAATCATTGTCGACGCCACTAAGGAACCAAAAGCTTCGAACTGATGCCGGTGCAAATTTTTCTCAATTGATAGATAATGTTAACATAGCCGGCTTCTAAACGTTTGCATACAAATAAGGAATAAACAATTAACATGAGAAACATAGGGATAATTAGATTTACTATCACTTATTGGTTTTTACCGTGTCTCGTCTGAACGCCAATCATTTAAGGCTAATTCGACACTTCCTCTAGGTGGTTTGCAATCATAGAGTCCAACCCACAAACATTTATTTCAATTTGAAACAATTTAAAATTGTTAAACCGACAAATTATCTGTAATGCTGTTAGTCAGTCTATGAATTGCCTGGTGGCAGTGTTTTATGGTGTTGAATTAAGGACATGATTTCATTTTCTCTTATCCCGCTAACACGTCATCAATTTACACACTAATTCTTATTTCACGCCCTTTTTGTCACAACATTAGACTTTCTTAAGAGCTATTATTATGCAAGTCAGCTAGAAAATATTTCAACAAACGAAGTTTTTCAAAACATTCTCCGCAATGAAATCTAGCATGACACGAATACAGATACAAAAATTGGTTGTATGCACCAAAAGCTTAAAGTATGGGTACCAGATTTGGAATTTGTTCTTTTTTCTTTTTGTACATTGAATATAAGATAAATACTCATTGATTTTCCCCAAATACGTAAACGTTGATGTAATTTCTTTTAATTTTATTTAGTAGACTGAGATTTTTCAAATATTTTTATTACATAATTATGTCATTTTCTGTTAACTTTCACGAGATGTCGTTCACGTAATTCTTGGAAACGCGATCGATGCATCATAACGTTTCATTTACATAAATAAATCTATTAATAAAGAAAACAACATTTGCTCGACTCTTTGGCAACTTGGAAAATTGGAAAAAATATTACGTCTGTAGTTTACCGTAAATAAGTTTATTTTTGAAGTTTCATTAGTTAAGCTTTTTTTCCGAAGATGAAAATATACATAATCATCCATAGTTTGATTAATGACATAGATGTAAAATACTTTATATTTTCTAATAACTACACTAAAATTTACTACCTATATCAACCTTTACCTCAGTCAGTTAAAGACATTAGGACAAGACAATTGGAACTACGTGTATAAGACAGAGTACCATGGCAACAGAGTTCCGATGATAAACATAGAAAATCTAAACCTTATTATTCAAACATTTAATCACAATCGCTACACTGTATGAGAAATGAGTATCAGTACCGAGTATATATATCAACAGCGCAGAAAAAAATACTGGTTAGTTCTGACCACAAATATGGACGGAAGTCAGGTCAAAATACTAGAAGTTAAACACGGAAGGTTACACTTCTATACAGACACCCAGCATAGCCATATCATCCCGTAGATAAGTTTAGAGTATAAAACAGCAAGAAAGCAAAATACAGATGACCAGTATTATCTATATCCAATGTATTTTCTTGTGTGATCTGTGATTGGGAAATGTTAACGAATATGGTTAAATATTCCAGGAAAATCGGAAGGGAAGGACTCGTCAATAATACATCATACAGCTGTTTCGTCCTTCTCGGACTAATCAGTGATGCTACATCATACAGCCGATTCATCCTTCTAGGACTCGTTAGTAATACGTCATACAGCTGTTTTGTCCTTCTAGGACTCGTCAGTGATGCTACATCATACAGCTGTTTCATCCTTCTAGGTCTCGTTAGTGATGCTACAACCACTGCTGTTTCGTCCTTCTAGGACTCGCCAGTGATGCTACATCATACAGCTGTTTCGTCTTTGTAGGACTCGTCAGTAATGCTATATCATACGGCTGTTTCGTCCTTCTAGGACTCACCAGTGATGCTACATCATACAGCTGTTTCGTCCTTCTAGGACACGTCAGTAATACATCATACAGCTGTTTCGTCCTTCTAGGACTCGTAAGTGATGTTACATCATACAGCTGTTTCGTCCTTCTAGATCTTGTCAGTAAAGCTACATCATACAGCTGTTTCGTCCTTCTAGGACACGTCAGTAATACATCATACAGCTGTTTCGTCCTTCTAGGACTCGTAAGTGATGTTACATCATACAGCTGTTTCGTCCTTCTAGATCTTGTCAGTAAAGCTACATCATACAGCTGTTTCGTCCTTCTAGGATTTGTCAGTGATGTTACATCATACAGCTGTTTCGTCCTTCTAGGACTCGTAAGTGATGTTACATCATACAGCTTGATCGTCTTTCTATGACTCGTCAGGGATGCTACATCATACAGCTGTTTCGTCCGTCTAGGACTTGTCAGTGATGTTACATCATACAGCTGTTTCGTCCTTCTAGGACTTGTCAGTGATGTTACATCATACAGCTGTTTCATCCTTCTAGGACTCGTAAGTGATGTTACATCATACAGCTGTTTCGTCCTTCTAGATCTTGTCAGTAAAGCTACATCATACAGCTGTTTCGTCCTTCTAGGATTTGTCAGTGATGTTACATCATACAGCTGTTTCGTCCTTCTAGGATTTGTCAGTGATGTTACATCATACAGCTGTTTCATCCTTCTAGGATTTGTCAGTGATGTTACATCATACAGCTGTTTCATCCTTCTAGGACTCGTCAATCGGAGACGATTATCCTAAGAATATGTCTAGACGAAAATATTCATATTAAGGTAGAGCTCTGAATCAGTGTCAGTTGTGACAGATATAATTACTCACTATCAAAGCTGATAATGATATCTATCCTTCGTTCATATACTGGACGATTTTCATAGAATTTCAGATACTTTTCCGTTGTTGCTATCATACATATGATACAAATGTTGTCATAAAGACAAGTTATCTTTATATGAAATGATACATTATAACTACCATCTTTTCTTTGTTTTAATTCGTTGTTGACTTAGTCTGAACCGACAACGAAAGTCGTGGTGATTACCGTGTAGTAAAGAACCCTCACCGGAACACCTGTTGTTATTTGTGTGAAATCAATTTCGTTTTTTAACCCTGTTCTGGAGGCGGCGTATTTTTCAACCCCGCTCCCCTGATATATCGTCTTTTAAATGTAGATATCTCACAACGTAAATGACTTTATGATCGT